TTTGTAGTCTCAAGCGCTGTGAGTGGCTCGTGTCCAATTGAGCCGTGTCCAACTGGGTGCCACCCCGAGTATGTATCTCATATGTGACCACACGTCCCAATTTCCTTCTCAATTAATATATCTGCCATCACATTGTTTTTAGCATTTAGATTTTAAGTACTTGCGCTTTTACAGAAATATTTTACCTGCCTCGCCATTGTTTAGGCCAATACTAATTCCATATATTTTTTACATTATTTTTAAATAGAAGTATTATTTAATCTTAAATAGAAATATGTTTAATCTTAAATAGAAATACATTTTAATTATATGTAATTATTTGTGTATTTAAATATCGCGGGTGCATTTGGACCCAAATGTGATTGGTCAAAGCGCATCCAGGGGAATGTTACACCTTGTCTTACACAATGGTACAGACTCTTTTAATTCCAAATTCGATAATAGTGGTGACATCTTTGATTTAGTTTTTACATTATATAATAGGTAAAATAAGTTTTTACATTATATAATAGGTAAAATAAACGGTACAATAAGTTGAAGTGAAACAAATATACGTCTGTTTCACTTCAACTTATTACACCATGTGCACCAGTTCAGAAAGTGCAGCAATAAAAAACAGACCTTATATAATATATATCATTCTGTCTTACTAAACGCATACGTCTGTTCTTATCTAACATATGCCAGCACCATCTATCGCAAGACCGCGCAACTACTGCTACACGGAATTTCGGCTCTGTTGACAGTCCCAGTCTTCGCAAAACACCTGTATACACATATTTTCTATTCGGTGGAAATATTTCTTTTCTAGACTTTCAATCTTAGTTCTACAAACTCGGTATCGTTCGTTTCAATAATGTGACCTCAGCTGCACGCTTATTTTCAAGATGTGGACTCTAAAACTCTTATATCAATATATATCTGAGGTGACAGCTGTACGAGCCAAAAGTAAGTGAATTTTTAACGAATCTTAAACTTTTTTTCTCAGGAAATCCAGTGCAGCTGAGGTCCTGTTTGTACGTACTTTAATTTAAGCAATAATACTTTTGCAATCCGTACATCCAATACAGAGATTTTTCACCGAATGGAAATGTGGTAAAACAAGAGGCTTTAGTATCGCCTTAATCCCGGATCTACAATAGGTGTTTTAAGCCTTAAGCCGTAAGGCGTCGTCTACAATACACGGAATAAGAAGTAAGAGTAAGAAATTGACCAATCACAGTCGATTATTCTTCTCACATTCGACTGTGATTGG